CCCCGGTCGAGAGGAGCCGGGGCTGGGGGCTGGCTGGGCGCCGCAGCCGGGGGCTGGCGAGGCCGAATAGACCCCCCCGGGGCACCCCGTGCTCCCCGGCCCCGCTCCGGGGTGCCCTTCACCGGTGCCCGACCCGCTGCGCTGCCTGGCCATTGCAGTCACCGACCGTCAGCCTGTGATGGCTGATAATGGGAACCAGGCTGGAGCAGCTTTTCAATGTCTTTAAATAAAGCCCTTATTACTGCCTAATTTTCCACTTTTGTGGACGCAATGGCCGGTGACATTCATCCCCTTCCACCTTTTTATGGCTTAAATGACTGAGACATTAAAGGTGTGGAGGGTGCCAGTGCTGAGGGATGAGGGTGCTGACGAACCAGATGGGAAATGGGGCCAGCGATGGACAAGGCATTAATGTGCTCATGGTGCCCAGTCAGTGCAGAACACGGCCGTCACCTGCACAAAATCACGCCCAAATTTCTGCTCTCCCAGACAAGTTACTGTCTGAAAGCTTTGTGGAGGTCCCAGCTCCAGCAAAATAATACTGGGGCTTGTTAGTCCGAAAGGCTGGTACCCAGCTTACCCCTACAGCGCTGGTCACTGCGGGGCAGCGAGGCAGGCAGCTGCACAGGGACAGGCGGCTGCAGTGCATCGGTGGGTGCAGTGCATGGGGACAGGCGACTGCAGACTTGGGTAAGTGCCTGTGGTAGAGGGAAAGATGGAGAGAACCAAGCAAACTCTAGACAAACATGAACCAACCTCCTCCCTGATGCCCCCTGCCCACCCCGTGCTGGCCCATGCCCCCTGAGCTGGAGCCCAAGGATGCCCTTTGCAGCCCCCGACTCCCTCCACAGCCCCCAGCTTCAGGCTGACCCCCCCCTCAGGAACAGCGGGGTCCATCTCCTCTCCCCACCCCCACTTTCCAATCCAGGATATTTGGGTTGCCAGAGCAAAACGCGGTCTAATCTGCCCTCTAATCCATCAGCCTGGCGGTGCGCGGCTGCATGGGGGGCCTGAGCTGCTGCGGGGCTCCCTGGGCTGGGGGCTGGGGCTCTGCACATGCCCGGGGGCCCAGGCAGGTCTGGGGGCTTCCCTCGCATCTGCCATCACTTGATAACAAACAAAACTCCTCAACAAAGGTCCCTTTGTGCCCCGCAGCTCTCTCCTGCCGGGCTCCCGCACCCAGCACCAGCACCCAGGGACCCAGCACAGACATGGGATGGGGCAGCCCCTACCCCGATGCCCTTGCCAGGCACTGGGACCTTTGTGATCGAGCCAGGACATAGCGTAGCAGGGCGGTGTGGGGCTGAGTGTGGTGCACAGCTGCCATCCCTCCTCCCCTGGCTGAGCCCGGCTTTTGCAGAAGGAGCTCCAGACCGCCTCGCATTTCTGTGGCTCCCTCCGGGCTCTTGGCAAGTCTGGTTGGTCTTTGCAGAGCAGAAAAATGTGCAGTGAAATGTCCGTGTCACTGCCCTGTGCACGCCGAGCCGAAACCGGCGCCCTGAATGGGGAGAGCTGTGGGCACGGGGCGGGGGGGTTGGCTTTGCCTCCCCCCGCTGCAGGGATGGGCACCATAGAGGAGCAGGCACGTGGAAACTCTCGCTTGCAGGAGCTGGAGGCACCACTGGCAGCAGGAGGGCTCTCCCTGCACAGGGGTCCCCCCGCATCCCCCCGCCACGGCTTCCTTTCCAACAGCCGCGGGTGAGGAGTGCGGCAGAGGCCCCTGCCCAGGCGCGGGAGGCAGGACGGGCCTGGGAGCGCACGGGGCCCCGGGCACTGGATTAAAGGAGAAGAAGGAAGAGATGAAAGCAGCCTTTGGAGGATGGCTCGGCGCAGGAAGCGAGCACCGTGCTTGCCCCCCTCCCAGCAATCAGGGGCTCGCGGTGGCAGCTACTGCTGAAAGCAGCCACGGGGTTGGGGAAGGGTGCTGGTGGGAGCCTGGCAGGGCCCCCACACAGCCCCCTCGGGCACTGCCCCATCCTGGGTGCCAGCCCTCACCCCGTGGCCTGCAGCACCCAGCACCTGTGCCAGGCTGGATCCCATCCTGCAGGGAGGGCACAGCTGCCCTCGAGGCCAGCATGAGGCACACGGGCGTCCCCATGGGCCTGGCAGCACCGCGGGGCATGGGCTGCCCTCTCCCTGCTCTCCATCACGGCTCTGTCCTGCAGCTGCCAAACCTTCCAGCTCCAGCAGAGCAGGAGCAATGGGCCCAGGAGCCGTCTGCAGGACAGACCCTGGCCCTCCGCGCCAGCCCCACCTCCCTCTCGCCTGCACGGGGGGCAGAGCTACGGCCCCCTCCATCACCCAGCAGCATCTACAAAAATACTTTATTGTGGAAGTGGGATGCGCGGGACCTCTCTGTACAGTACAAACCAACAGCAGCAATGCAGTCACCAGCACACAGACACATGACAGCAGCACCCAAAACCCACTGTAGGGGGGCAGCGGGAGCCAGGGGGTCCGCAGCCCCTATGTTGCCTTGGGTCTGGCATTGAGGCGGATGATGGCCCGGTAGTCCCGCACCAGGTCCCGCAGCTGGTCCAGGTAGGGGTTGACATTCTCCTCCATCCACTCCTCCACCGTGTCGGGGAAGTAGACCCTCTCCAGGCGGGCATGCAGGTCGCGGATGAAGCTCTCCCAGTCCTCGTGGAGCCTGGCAGGGGGGGAGCAGAGGGTCCAGTTCCCTCCTGCGAAGGACCCCAGAGCCAAGCCCGGGACCCCTCCGAGCCCCATGCAGGTACCTAGGGGGGCTCCCGGCCCCTAGCACCACGTACTTCAGCACCTTGCTGCCGAAGGTCTCCATGTTGCGGGGGTTGCCAAACTGGCGCTTCCGGTGATAGGGGCTGAACCAGCCCTTGATGGCGCTGGGGAGGCAGGAGGGGAGTGGGGGACGTGGGGGCCACCCGGGGACGGGGGAGCTGCATGCCAGGCAGGTCCCCTCCCCTGCAAAATCTCTTGTGCTCCAGCCCCATGGTGAGAGCCAGCCAACCTCACTGCCTCCCGCCACCCGTTACCTCTCCTCCTCCAGGGCTTTAAGGATGCTCTCCTTCAGGTGGCCATTAACCTGCTCGACCATGTGGTAGATCTCCGCACCAGGGAACGTTCCCCTGCCCTCGCTGGGGAAAGGGGGGAGGAGGTGAGAGCCCAACACGTGGGGTGCACTGGCCACACTGGGGCAGGTGGAGGGCACGTGCCCTCACCCCAGGCAGGTCTGGGACTGGGGCATTTGGGTAACCAACCCCCCGCTCCCCTCCAGCGCATCCCTTCTGACACAACCACAATGGCAGTGCCACGGCCACCCCCTGCCATGGTCAGGCTGTGCCATGTACCAGGTGCTCTGCTCCAGCTGCATGCTCTGGAAGCCCAGTGTGTCCAGGACCTTCCTCTTTGTCTCCTCCGTGAAGCCCCCTGGGGAGGGTGAGGAGAGGGGCAGAGGGGCCTGGGCCACCCCACTGTCAGGCACTCACCCCCAGCTTCACCGCACCCCCGAAACTGGGGGAGCTGAAGCTCTCCTTCCCCTGCCTCTCACCCCCCTCCCGGTATTCTTCCCTGCCTGCAGGACAGGGTCTTGCAGGCAGTGGCTGCCTGCGGGATGGGGAGACGAGGGACAAGCCCGTCCGCAACGGCTGGTCCAGTGCCGGCAGCAGGGGGGTGGCTCACCGTTCACCAGGGTCTGCAGGCAGACGGCCAGGGAGGGGATGCCGACGGGCAGCAGCTCGCAGAGCACCGAGTAGTGATCATACCTAAGGAGCGGGGCCAGCCGCGCCATCACCTCCTGCGCCACCGCCGGCAGGGCTGCATGGGTGCCAGGGAGGGCGGGGGTCCCGCCGCCCCTCACCTCTGCCAGCCGGTGAGGACGATGCCCTGGAAGCGCAGCGGGGCCAACCGCGGCAGGGCCTGCATCACCTTCAGCCAGCTCAGGTGGTTTTTCAGGTGGTAGCTCAGGGGGGGCCAGGTCTGCGCCGGTCCTGTGGTGCCCTTGAAGGCGCTGGCGAACCACACTGCCTCAAAGCCACTCTCCACATACTTGTCGAGGAACGGCACTGCAGTGGGACAGGCACAAATGACCAGTGCCACTGTCCCTGGAGGTTGGGGGGGCTCGGTGTGGGGTGTCCCCCCCGCCAGCCCCAGGAGCCCAGCATGCCACCTTACTGATCTGATCAGCCTCGAAGTCAGGTGCATAGAACCACACCACGGGCGAGACGTGCTTTGCTATCCCGGACTCTGTAGGGGAAGCAGGGACGGGGACGTGGACGCTGATGCCAGAGGCAGGAGGATGCCTGGGGCTCCTCATGCTTCCCCGAGATCCACACCCCCGCAGGGCCAGGCACGGGCTCCTGCCTGGCACTGGGCATGATGCCTGCCAGGGCAGCCACACGGACGGGTACTGCTGAGACCCCTGGCTCGCGTGCCACACTGCTGCTGTCCCCATCCTCTCACCCCGCAGGGCTCCCACGCTGATCTTCCTCAGCATGTCGTCCCACATGAGTGCCCGCAGCCCCCAGTGCTGCGTGGTGATGAAGTCCAGCACCTCCTTGATGTGCTTCAGGTACATGGTCCCCGTGTCACCCTTGTTGCGGCTCATCCAGTTCTTGGAGTCAATCCCCTCCCCGAGATGGAAGACCTGGATTTGAGCAGGTAAGGGGGATGCTCAGCACCCCTGGGAGCATGCCTGGTGCCCAGGCTGAGGGCTGGAGTCCATGGCCCATTGCCCACCTCATCTGCACCGATGTGGATCCAGGTGGAGCGCCTGTGCTTCTCGATCACCTGCGACAAGATGCTCTTGAGCAGAGCCAGGGTATCAGGGACATGGGGGTTGAAGCTGTTGGGGAAACGCTCGACCTCCCGCAGGTGCTGGTACTTCTCGTGCTTGAGGATGAACTGTGCAGGAGGAGCTGTCAGTGGGGATTTCCAGGCCATGGGCCAAAGGGATGTGGGATGAGGAGTGGGACTGGGACCTCCTACCTCCACATGCCCAAAAGTCTGCACCAGGGGAACCACCTCCAGCTTGTGGAGCTCTGCCAGCTGCTGGATCTGCTCAATGTCCTCCTCGCTGGGAGGGCAGGGACAGGCTCACCAGGGGATGCCGGGGCAGGGGGCAGAGCATGAGGGCGCTCCCTTCTCCTCCTCCTCCTCCAGCACTGCCCGTGTAGCCCTGGCCTCCCCACACCTGTGTGGACTTTACTACAGGGACACAAATATTGACCCGGCGGGGCAGGAAGCTGGTCTACCGGCGGCACAGCCCAACACTCCGGCCACAGTTATCACAGGCACGGGTCCAGGCGGGTCACACCCAACCCCCGGCACACCGGCACCTGCTGGGGCCACACTGAGCCAGAAGCCCCCCGGCCAGCTCAGCACACAGCCCCGGCTCACCTGTAAGCGTACGGGGACTTGAGGATTTCCAGCTCCCCCTTGAAAGGGAACATGTCCTCGTACTCGATGAGGATGCCATTGGCTCCCAGCTGGGACAGGAGGGGGAAAACCTGCAGGGCAGGCAGGGCAGGACAGCCGGCAGGTCAAGCCTTGCTCTGCCTCTGCCCCCTCAGCACGTCCCTCCCCGGCACCTCCCGTCGGTCCCCAGGCATCCTCACCTGCTCCAGGTAGGAGACCCTGGGTGCAGCTCCCTTGAGGTCCAGGTGGACCAGCCTCATCTCAGTGGTGCTGACATCCCTGGGGACTTGCTGCCCAGGTTCTTGCCTCGGGGCTGTTATCTTTGCCACGGGGAGCTCAAGAGCCTGGCTCTGGGGGCCAGCATCCTGGGCAGCGTCCCCTGCATCCCCCCAGAACCTGCTGTCCTTGCTGACGTGCTTGTGCAGCTCCAGGGTGAAGCTGCAGGGAGCAGAGCAGGGCTGGGGGTGTTGCCGGGCACGGGGGCACCAGCTGCTCCCCAGCAACAGACTGCTGCACGGGCACAACCCAGGGGCTCCCCACAGGCCCCGACCCTGCTGGGGCCCCCACCCACGCCTGGGGTCCTGCTGTCACCTCACCTGTCACGGAAGAGGAACTTGATGCCGGCCAAGGCCACAAGGAGCAACACAACGAGGCGCAGCAGGTTCAGCCTGTGGCTCCGCTGGAAGGCCATCTCTGCAGGGCACACACGGGGGTCCAGCCACACGACAGCACCCCAAGGGACCCCAAGCACAGGTAACCCCACGCAGCCCCACAAACCATGCCCTGCTACCCTGACCAGGGCAGCACAAGACCCAGAGAAAGGGGACATGGGGGAGACCCCTCCCTCCACCCTGGTCCCAGGAGGGACCATGCACAGAGGTACCCTGTGTCCCTCCTACCTCATGTGCCCCAGCACCAGGGGTGGTGGCCAGATCTACTTTTGCCTCTGCCTGCAAGGGCACAGCCTCCTCGGGCTCTGCCAGCGCAGGAGCAAACAAGGCAATGGCTGCAGGGCAGGTCTCCGCCGGGGGATCCCCTCAAGCCGCCGTGTCACCTCCGAGACGAGCGCTGTATCACGGGGTGGCTGGGTGGGGTGGCATCATGGGGCAGGTACGGTGCAGCCGGGGCTGGCCAGGCACAGCAGGCAACGCCCCTGTGGATGGAAGAGAGGCGATTGGGGACTGCCTGGGCACATGCTGGCACTTGGCTGCTCTGGGGATGGGCATCGGCACAGCCACAGGCACCACCGGGGCAAAGGTGGCAGCCTGGACCCCCGCTGGCACCCGCTTGCCACATGCAGCCCACAGCATGTGCCCGGGGAGGCGAGTCCCATCCAGCACCATGGAGGGGAAGGGGCACGAGCTGCTTTGCCTGCTGGAAAACAACACTGGAGCAGGGCAGGAGCCTGGTGGGGTCTGGCCACCGAGGATCTGAGCCTGGTGAGAGGAGTTGCTGCTTCCCCCATGGAGCGGGATAGGGATGAGGGCGGGATGGCCTGTGCTGCCACTGCTGGGGGCTGCAAGATGCCGCACCATGCCAGGCAGGGGGAGGCTGGTCTGGTTAAACAGATGTTTGATCCCTCATGGGACATGTAGGACAGGCCACATGGGGTGTAGGGACAAGCTTGTGTCAAAGAGTTGTCACCAGTAAGATTAATAAAATTCATTTGAAGTCTTTTTCCCTATACCAGTTTTGAGAACTCCTGAGATGGGGATCTACCAATTGAGATGAAAGTGAGCCCAAACCAAAGGCAGTCTCCACAGGGCGGGAGGCAGCAGGCGCCCCTTCCCCTTCCCCTGCCCCCCCCCCCGGCCCCAGCCCAAGGGATTTTGCGGAGATTTTTACCCCCCGGCACGCGCCCA